CCCACTGACCCCACCCGCCATGGAGTCCTACGAGGGGATGCACTACAATGTCAAACAAGGACACTGCAGCAACGCCAGGGTTTCGTGAGCACTATACCCAAACACCAGTATCAGACATGATGTCCACAATACCCGTTGAGAACGCCCAACACTGGTACTCAGTTGCCCTAGCCCCAGTGGACCAGCCGATTGACCCTGGGAGGCCACTTAAAGGCCACCCATCTACAGGAATTCAAGGCCAAGGTGGTGTGTTGCAGTACCCCAGACACCACTCAACCACCAGGATCTTCTCCTCCCCTTCACGGGTCGCCACGCACGGCAAACACATGGGTGGATGTTTAGATCCCAGAGAAAGTAACTGAAAATACAGAACCTTCCCTGGGAGGTCCCCTCACCACGTACAGGAATCCACGTCGAGGGGGTGTAACCACGTATAGCTCATCGGCAGGAACCAAATACGCCATTAACAAACATAGCAACAAAGAAGTCCATGTACATCCTATAGCTAGCAGAGATGAAATCGCCTATTTTAGTGCAAAACAATAATGTAGAAGGTATGGAAAAGATCCACCCGTTAATAGTTCTATCAACAATTGGTAGTGGCAGTTTGAAGAGTCAGAGGGCGTGTTACACAAGAAACATCAACAATTGGTAGTGACAGTTTCAAGAGTCAGAGAGCGTGTTACATAAGAAAGGAGCCGCGATGGGCCGATTCCCTGGGCAACATGGTCCGCCAGACATCACTCCTCTGGGGTTATGTGAAGGACATTCTCCACAAAACAAAATTTGGTCGATCTGGGGGACACTACGTGAACAGATTTCCGAAGCAATAGCTACAGTGACACCACATATGCTGGCCAACACTGGGATGGAAACTGAATATCGCCTGGACATCATGAGGGCCACAAAAGAGCACATGAAGAGATGTACTGATGCCAAATAGTGCATACATGTGCCCTTCATCAACAACAAACCGTCAGTTCGTAGTTTTTATTGTCTTATCGCGGTTTACGTTTTCAATACATGACAACTTTCGAACACCCTATACTTTCAAATAATAACATAAGTACCACGATAACTGTACAGTTTGTTAATCCATACTATGTTGTCATGAAAACTTTACTAATAAAAAAATAATTATTGACTAATATGACACACACACCGAGCTACTAAAGTGTTCCAGCTTACTGTTTCTTCAGAAATCAGAATTTCTGCTTGAAGAACGACAACATCCGCCATTTTCTCCATTCTCGG